TATTCGTGATAGATGGCGCTGTAATCGCAAAAAATTATGTTTTCCGCAATTCTCCAGAAATGATCATTGGATTGAGAAATAAAAAATACTTGTTCAATATTTTTAAAGAACATAATAAAAGTTATTCTCCCTCATCCTCTCAGGGTAGGGTGGATGATAACGTTCAAATCTCAAATGGGGACCCACATTTTTCATTGCAGAATTAGATTGTACGTGAAATTTTTATTGAAACAATTTTTTTCATTCGTGATAGATAGCGTTGAATTTTTCCGAGAAACTACTTTTAACGTTACACAGGAACAACGACGAGGACGTAGTAGTGTTATGTTCCCTTCGGGTGCTTTTTTAATGTGAGTCCCCTTGCCTCTCACAGATCGGGGTGCTTTTTTAATGTGAGTCCCTTTGCCTCTCACTGTTCAATTAATTAGAGTAAGTGTTCGAAATTTTTACCTTCAACTTCAATACACTTATTGATCCTTTTTTCAAATGACTGTACACAGGACAGAAGCATATCTGCGGGAGTTTCAGCGCAAGCGTTTCTTATGCGTTCGACCATGTTTTCACGAGTTGTTGGCATTTGTTGATAAACCTTATCTTTTAGGTAACCCCACAGAAAGAAATCCGGTGACGTCAAATCAGACGACCTAGCAAGCCAATTAATCGGGCCACCTCTGCCAATCCACCGACCATTGTAATCGCGGTCTAAAATTAAAAAAGCACCCGAAGGGAACATAAAACTACTACGTCCTCGTCATTGTTCCTGTGTAACGCTAAAAGTAGTTTCTCGGAAAAATTCAACGCTATCTGTCACGAATGAAAAAAATTGTTTCAATAAAAATTTCACGTACAATCTAATTCTGCAATGAAAAATGTGGGTCCCCATTTGAGATTTGAACGTTATCACCCACCCTACCCCGAGAGGAGGGGGGGGGAATAACTTTTATTATGTTCTTTAAAAATATTGAACAGGTATTTTTTATTTCTCAATCCAATGATCATTTCTGGAGAATTGCGGAAAACATAATTTTTTGCGATTACAGCGCCATCTATCACGAATAAAAAAAAAGTTTCGGACAAAATTTACGTATTTTGTGGCGTAGAATCCGCATCTGCAATAAAAAAGCCATTTAAGATTTCAAAGTTGCCCCCAACCCCCACCCCCTGGGGGTGGGGTGGGAGGTTGGGTTTGGTATCATTGGATGTCCCCCTTCGAGACTAACAACTTTCATTAACCACTTTTTTTCATCCAATGTATAGTTCTCGAGATATTTCAATGTCTTCAGATAAATCATGCACCTTGTATTAGAACAGTAGCGCCAATTGAGAAACCTAACATATATATATGATTATTGCATACTTAATATTTTTAGAAATCTCAAATACTAATTATATCCTTTTTTAAGATATATATTATATGTACATAACATAAGTTTTTACAAATAAAACTTATCAAATTATTTTTCTTTCAAAATATATATGTACATAAGCATTTAAAAGTTAAAATTATATAGTATTATAAAAATTTAACACGTTTATTAATAGTGTCCAATATTTAAAAAAGAATATCTTTTTAAAGGTTATTGTTATTCAAGAAAAACCTAGCTATAAAAAATGTCTATGGCATAAATTTTTACAAGTAAAATTTATCATTATTTATTAGAACACTGAGTTATATGGTTATTTTATTTGTTATTGTAACAAATTAATTATTATAACAATGCAATAAAAAATATTTAATACAAATAATCTTGGCGCGGCTGCACCAAAAACTATATCGAAGATGTATGTACATAAAAGTCAAATTAGATATCATTGACATTTCGTCGATTATAATAAGAATAACATCTTTGAATAAAAAAATATCAAAATATGTAGAATATATTCACATTCGATATTTATATTCTATAGTGAAGGTTTATAATTTAATATAATACTATATAAACTTAAATAGAACATTACACCGTATATGTATGGAGAGAATTTATAAGTATATTTTATTATAATAAAATTGCTGTCATGTATGTATTAGACAAGTTTTAGTTCGATATAGTTTTTGGTGCAGCCGCGCCAAGATTATTTGTATTAAATATTTTTTATTGCATTGTTATAATAATTAATTTGTTACAATAACAAGTAAAATAACCATATAACTCAGTGTTCTAATAAATAATGATAAATTTTACTTGTAAAAATTTATGCCATAGACATTTTTTGTAGCTAGGTTTTTCTTGAATAACAATAACCTTTAAAAAGATATTCTTTTTTAAATATTGGGCACTATTAATAACGTGTTAAATTTTTAAAATACTATATAATTTTTACTTTTACCAGGTATGTCGGTAATTACTTTCCGGTTTTTGTAACAGATGTCACTAGCCATAAGTATGCAATGTTATGATTTGATACATATGTTATTTTATTCTACTGACATTAACCTCAAAACTACACAAGTTACGTTCCGCCAAAATAACAGCGTTATAGATTAATAATTTTTTGAAAATGTCGAGTTTTGTGCCTGAAAACGTGCATTTGCGGCACGCATTACTTTTCTTGTTTAATCAAAAGAAAAAAGCCGCTGAAAGTCATTGTTTGCTGGTAGAGACTTACGGTGAGCATGCTCCAACCATAAGAACATGTGAAACGTGGTTTCGACAATTCAAATGTGGTCACTTCAACATTTAAGACAAAAAACGTCATGGTAGGCCGAAAACGTTTGAAGATGCGGAATTGCAGGAGTTATTGGATGAAGACCCAACACAAACTCAAAAACAATTTCACAAACAAAATCAAAAACAGAAAAGTTGAATGTGAGCCGAGTAGCAATTTGTGAACAATTACAAGCGATGGGAAAGATCCAAAAGATGGGAAGATGGGTGCCACATGAATTGAATGACAGGCAATTGGAAAATCGAAAAATCGTCAGTGAAATGCTGCTTCAAAGGTATGAAAGGAAGTCATTTCTGCATCGAATAGTAACGGGTGATGAAAAATTGATTTATTTCGAAAATCCCAAGCGAAAAATCATGGTTATCATCTGGCGAAGGCGGCCCATCGACTGCAAGACTAAATCGCTTTGGTCGCAAGACCATGCTCTGTGTCTGGTGGGACCAGGTTGGTGTCGTATATTATGAACTGTTGAAACCTGGAGAAACAGTTAATACTGATCGCTACCAACAACAAATGATCAATTTGAACTGTGCATTGATCGAAAAACGTCCACAATACGCTCAAAGACATGATAAGGTGATTTTGCAGCATGACAACGCGCCGTCTCATACAGCAAAACCAGTCAAAGAAGTGTTGAAATCACTTGGATGGGAAGTTTGATCGCACCCGCCGTACTCTCCAGACCTGGCTCCATCCGACTACCACCTTTTCGCATCGATGGGGCACGCGCTTGCAGAGCAGTACTTCGCCGATTTCGAAGAAGTTAAAAAATGGCTCAATGAATGTTTAGCTCAAAGGAGAAACAGTTCTTTTGGAATGGCATCCATAAATTGCCTGAGAGATGGGCAAAATGTATAGAATCAAATGGCCAATACTTTGAATAAATATATTTTAACTATGCATTGTAAATAACGTGTTTTCTTTAGCGAAAAACCGGAAAGGAATTACCGACACACCTGGTAGATGCTTATGTACATATATATCTTGAAAGAAAAATAATTTGATAAGTTTTATTTGTAAAAACTTATGTTATGTACATAATATATATCTTAAAAAAGGAAATAATTAGTATTTAAGATTTCTAAAAATATTAAGTATACAATAATCATATATATATATTAGGTTTCTCAATTGGCGCTACTGTTCTAATATATCACTTCTTTTGTACAGTAGAATAGTGTTGTAGAGTTTTATTATAGTTATAAGTTTTACTTGTAAAAACTTATGTTATGTACACATATATGCCTTAAAAAAATAATTTGGGTTTAAAATTTCTAAAAATAACGCAATACGTGTTGCGCTTGTACTGGGCGCCTTTTTTTTACCTTTTTGTTTAAAAAGGTAAGTTTTATATAAATTTTACTTGTAAAAATTATATATACGTCACGTATATACACTATTAATATGTAAATGTCATTAATTTATACTTGTAAATTATCTTCACCTAATTCGCGCACTACCTGCACTACTTCCCAGAAAACAACGAGGTCTTGTAGATGTCTAAAAGATATCTTATGAAAGATTTCTTTAAGATATTTCTAAAAGATATCTACAAGTTGTCTATAAGATATCTAAATAGATGTAGTGGAAGATATCTTTGTAGAATTTATAAAAGATATCTATAGACATCTGAAAGATATCTTAAAAGATATCTTCAATATATTTGTAATAGATATCTAAATGATATCTTTTAGAAGATATCTTTAAGAGCCGATTGTTTCAACTTCTTGGTAAGTTAAATAATAGTTTAATCATAATTTGTCTGTCTAATTTAAGGAAGGAATAAAAATAGACAAATTAACTAATTACTTTAAACTTGGAACAACCGGCCCTAAGGCCGGTATTCTATAAGAAATTGTTCTCCTATGGGATATATCGTATCATCCGATCTCATGTGAATCTTCAATTATATTTAAGACATTCTGAAGTTCATCTTGGCTGCATTCCCTAATTCACGGCCAATACTGAAAATCTGTAGTTCATGTAACGTAGAACAATATAGAATTTCAGTGCTGTCAGTGAATTACAGAACGCAACCCTTGAGATACTTCGTAGCCAATAAAATAATCCGTGCAACATAACAACAAACAACAGACAAATAACAACAAAGAACAGCCCAGATAGCAAAATGTGCGCAAACATGTCTTTTAGACTTCTAAAAGATGTCTAAAAGACGTCCTACTTCTTTTAGAAGTCTTTAAACATCTTTGTAGACATTGTGCTATCTGGGAGGTAAACAAAAACAGATCGATTGCGTATCTTGAAACGTGGTGAATTCTAGTAAATTCACTCACTTTTGTCATTCACTTGTTTCAATACACGCAATCGACTCTCAGACCTCGTGACTTCCTACCGAAAAGAAACCGTGCGGTTCAAGGATCCGATATTTATCAAAGGTAATCCTCGAAATCCTTCAAATTTACAATTGTATCTGTCTTTATACTTAAATCCTTTTGCCATTCAATGTTTAATATTTTCTGTGCGATTTGTATAACTAAGAATATTTTAATATAATTTACTCTATCCTAACCTTATGTTTTGCTGGAAAATTAATGTTAGTAATAAATGTGCTACATTTTGTACTTCAATGAACATTAGGATTTTAATCAATCACATTTTATGTTTAGGTTTACAACGGAATTGACACAATATTCGGACTGTACCAGTAGTACTTGGTTGTTGTCCTCCGTCTTCACACAATTATCGCCATAGAAATTATCTAATTTAATGAATTACTTGCTGATAAATTCCTCGATAAGGTATTCAAGTAATGATTACGATTCTTTGAAAAATTGAAAATTAGAAATAACATAACAAGCAAATAACCAAACCTGTGCGAGCAATCTATTAGCAGTATTTGTGACACAATCCTCCATTACATTTAAGACCTTCTGAAGCTTATCTTGGCTACATTCCCTAATTCACTGCCAGTACTGAAAATCTATAGTTCATGTAACGTATACTATAGCATTTCAGTGCTGTCAGTGAATTACAGAACGCAGCCCTTGAGACACTTCGTAGCCAATGAAATAATCCGTGCAACATTTGATTAGATAGTTCAGCAGTGCAATTCCAAACAACAGACCTCATGACTTCCCACCGAAAAGAAACGTGCGGTTCAAGGATCCGATATTTATCAAAGGTAATCCTTCGAAATCCTTCAAATTTACAATTGTATCTATCTTTATACTTAAATCCTTTTGCCATTCAATGTTTAATATTTTCTGTGCGATTTGTATAACTAAGAATATTTTAATATAATTTACTCTATCCTAACCTTATGTTTTGCTGGAAAATTATAATGTTAGTAATAAATGTGCTACATCTTGTACTTCAATGAACATTAGGATTTTAATCAATCACATTTTATGTTTAGGTTTACAACGGAATTGACACAATATTCGGACTGTACCAGTAGTACTTGGTTGTTGTCCTCCGTCTTCACACAATTATCGCCATAGAAATTATCTAATTTTATGAATTACTTACTGGTAAACTCCTCGATAAGGTATGTTCAAGTAATGATTACGATTCTTTGAAAAATTGAAAACTAGAAATAATATAATAAGCAAATAACCAAACCTGTGCGAGCAATCTCTTAGCAGCATTTGTAACACAAAGGCAATAGATTGCACACAGTATGTATTAATTAGGTTTTTATGGCAGATTCGTAGTATATTGCGTGCAGAGCCTGCTAATAGACGTTAGCAAGATCTGCATTCTGCCATCAAGCTGCTGTCAGAGCTGTCATAGATTGTGTTAGCATACTCTGCCGGCAGTCTAACAGCAGATTGTGGACACAGATGTCTGTGGATCTGTCGCCAATCTGACGTCAGTATGTGCACTGATTGTTTCAGATTTGAGGGTTTCATGGTCGGTGAATTTCTTCATTGTAATAGTTTCCGGTTGAGTACCGCGTCCTGAAACAGTTTTATGTCGACGTTTCGCTAACATTGCAGTTTGCATCTTCAAGGCTGAGGAGTCCTGATATTGAATTTTTCTCTTTCGTGAGTGTGCTTAGGTATCCCTTTCCTTGTGTTGAAGAAAGAAGAGGAGAGAATAATTAATATCAAAGCTCTCAGCTCTTAAGATGCAAACTGCAACGTTTCTGAAACGTCGATATAAAGCTGTTCCAGGACGCAGTACTCATCTGGACGCTACTACAAAGAAGAAATAGGACATGATGTTTCTTTTTTAATCTACACGAAATATCTTTGTAATAAAATCATTGATATTCATTCAAAGATAAAATTAAAAAATATAATAGTTTAAAAGATATTTCATACTCTGGCATAATTAATATAATAATATTAAATATTAAATATCTGGAATAATTTCACTTTTTCATATATTCGATATTCGATTTTCGTATTTTTATATGTGGAAGAACTACATATTATTTATTAAATATTTTGCCTTTATATCATGAAATTTTCATCATTTGTATGTAGGTTTCAAACGACATATAATAAAAAAATTAATAATGCCGAAAAGAAAAAGATATAACGATTTGAGTCGGTCTCAACAATGGCGTCGGCGACAAAATATTGATTGTGCAGTACATACTATTGATACAGGCGATACATATAATATTAATTTAGACATTGAGATTCCTCATGAAATGTCTAATGACAATATTCTTATTGAAGAGAATAGTAACAATTATTTGAATAATAATAATATATATATGTATGGAGATGTCGAAGAATGCAATCAAAGAATTGATTCTTATTCAAATTGTAGTTATTCAGAATCTGATATGGAATTGATTGCCGAATGCAATAATCAATGTTATAAAGATTTGAGTTTTAATGTACAGAAAGAACTTGCATTATACAAATTTCTTCGGACATGGAGTCTTGAGTATAATATTACTCATGTGGCTCTAACAAAATTGCTTCAAGGTCTCAAAATCAATGGATATAAAAAGCTTCCTTGTAATGCGAGAACTTTATTGGGAACTCCGAGAACAACATCAATAATTAAGAATCATTCTGGTACTTTTTATTATCATGGATTGCAGACAGCATTGAAGAATCATTTACGATATAATAAACCTCTCCATGAACGTTGTGAAAATGAAATTAAAATCAACTTAAGCATTGACGGACTACCATTGGCAAAGAGTTCTAAATCGCAATTTTGGCCACTTTTAGGGCAAATTGTCCACGTTCATTATAGAGAAAAACCTTTTGTCATTGGAGTATTCCACGGATATTGTAAACCGAAGAAACCGAATGAGATTATTCATCAATTTATTGAAGAATATAGTGAAATTCAAAATAAAGGATTCCAATATCGAGGAAAAAAATACAAAGTTTTAATAAATGCTATAATATGCGACGCCCCGGCAAAAGCATTCATGAAATGTATTAAAAGTCATACAGGATATTATGGATGCGATAAATGTGAAGAGGAAGGTGAATGGAGGAACAATCGAATGTTATTCCTTAATCAAAATGCTCCTTTACGCACAGATGCAAAATTTTTATTACGACATAATGAAGATCATCATGTGGATAATTCACCTTTTGAAAACATTGGATTGAAAATGGTAACACAGTTCCCATTAGATTATATGCATCTTGTTTGTCTCGGTGTCATGAAAAGACTTATAAATATGTGGATCCGAGGAATAAAGGGCATTAAACTGCGTGCTTCTCAAATTGATCAATTATCTATAGATTTAAAGCAGTTAATAACATACATACCTAGAGAATTTTCTAGGAAACCAAGAGGTTTAGATGAATTAGATCGCTGGAAAGCGACAGAATTTAGACTGTTTCTCTTATATACTAGTCTATCAATTTTATGGTCATATTTGCCAAATGATTATTTGAGACATTTTTATGTTCTACATTGTGCAATTTATATTCTTTGTAATCCTGCCGATTGCGAATACAATAACGAATATGCACATGAATTATTAGTACATTTTGTACAAACATTTAAAATGTTATATTCTGAGAACTACGTTACATACAATGTACATAACTTGGTTCATTTACATGTTGATGTTAAGAATCATGGGTGTCTGGACATGTTCAGTGCTTTTCCATTCGAAAATTATTTTCAAGAAATGAAACGAATGCTACGAAAAAATGCACAACCGTTACAACAATTGCACAGATGATTAATGGAAAAATGTCAAACTGTAAGAAATATTGGGTATAAACCTGAAGAATATCCCATTCTTCAAAATGCCAAGAACGAAGAATTATTGTTTGGATGTACACAATCTCATAAAGAAATAATATTTGAAAAATTTACACTATCCTGCATCAAAGAAGCCGATTCTTATTGTTATATGAATAACAGAAATGTTCTCATGATTGAATATATTGGAAAAAAGAATGGAGAAACAGTAATATTGGAAAAAAGTTAAAAAATTTCGATAATATATCTTCATATTCATGTGATTCGCGAAATTTGAAAATCTATGTCGGAAATGAATGGTCTGAAATTGGAATGTATCCAATAAGTCAAATAAGCGCAAAAGCAATGCGACTTCCTTACAAAGATACATTTTGTATAATTCCTATTCTACATACTAATGATTGAAGTGAGTTGTTATTTTTTATAAAAACAACTGTAATAATTTATAAATAAAACTAGTAATTTATAAATTGTATTATATCATACATAAATATATTATATTATACAAATAATATTGTTTAATCCAATTTGTAATTATGACAGATATTTATATAAATAATAAGTTTTATATATATAAATATTTTTTAACAATAAATTATGACAAGTTTGAACCATAATTTGGATGCTTTAGGATAGAAAATCATAATAATTATGAGTGAAATTATTTTCATTTATTCTCTTAAATACTTCATCATTACTTAATCAGTATTTATTGTTACAGATGTATTACGTCGTATTTTGGGACGAATACTGCCAAGTCGTTCCCGATTCTTGGGTAAACTTTAATGCAAAAACATTTACGTTTCCATTGTCTAAAAAAAATATTACCAATACAATAAAGAAGAAGATAAGTCCTGGAAATGATTGGAACATTAGTCATTTTCATAAAATTTTAGGACCTTACAATACATTTGATAAGGCTCGGGAAGCAGAAAAATCTTGTATTGATATATCCACTTCGGATGATATTCAATTTGCTTCTTTAAATGAACCAATCCAAACATTGCCTCTGAAACGTTTGATAACGAAAAAAAAATTTTATGACGATGAATCGAATAATTACGTGAATGATTGTAAGTTTCAAATTCTATTACAGCAAATTACAAAATATAATATGATAAAACGTAAAGTAGCAAATTGAAAATGAGTAACAAAACTAATTTACTAATATAATTATATACTATATATAAGTATATAATTATAAAGATAAGTATATAATTATAAAGATAAGTCGTAAATCGTTGAAAAAACTAATTTTCTATAAAATATAGGTAATATTTCCAAGAAATATAAATCAAATCAACATCCCCCATCAAATTATAAAATACACGAAGGGATTGGAGCTACATCTACAAATGTTGAACTTGAGAAAAATTCATTACATTTTAGATCAGTGAGTTCGGAATATAACGTGCAGAAGCGGGTGAGTACTATAAATATTAATGATTAATATATAGAGAAAAATAGCGCTAATTAGGACGTGCTTTTATTCAGACATCGATTAATTTTTAATAATTTATAATTGGAATAATCGTAACTATCAATACATAGCTGCAAAATAGACATTTCACACGCATTTCTATGTTGTTCAGTGAAACAAAATAGTAGTATTTGATAAAACCATTTATATATTTATTACAATACGTGAATAATTATTACTTAATTAATAGTATTTTATATTTTTATTTATTTATATGTAAATATAGATGAGAGTTGAATAAATTCGGACAAAAATCGTTATTTAATTTATAAATATATACATAAATATATATTTGTACACACACACGTATATGTTAGATTTACACACACATACAATTTGTATATTAATATATTTTGAATTCCAGGAGGAAGATAAAATTTTATCCGTCAAAAATAATCCATCTAATTGCAATGTCCCTTCACCTTTAAATGAACACCAATTTTCAATTCAAGTTTTTCATGAGGATGAGCAAGATGATGAAGAGATGACGGATGATACTAATTCTCGTGATTATGATCGGAACATCGATAATAAGGAAAATGAGATAATTGGTAATGACAAATTATATAGCGGTATACTTTTTGTCATGGCATATATTATATAAAGTTAGTTGAATAAGTAAATTCAATAATCTGTGAACCTATTTCTATTATTTTATTTAGCGATGAAGGCTCTCCCAATTACAGAAATGAATGTAGACGAGGATATACATGTAATTATAAGTAAGATACATTTTTCTTTCATATAGATGAATACTTTCTTTCATATAGATGAATACTAATTGATTGATCATACTAATGAATACTAAACAGTGAAAATAGTAAATCATTTCTAAAAATTTGTAAATTTTAGTAATGTATTGTTTTAGTATTGTCATCATATATAATATAGTTATTATTATATTTCCAAAATACTTTTATCGTATATTGTAGTGTACAAAGTTATTAATAACATTAAAAAATTAGTCTCTGAAGATGCTTACAGTAAAATATGAATGATGAAATATAAATAGTTCTTCTTGCAGGTTCTTTATATGAAAAAGTAGATACTTTACATCAAGACTTTCAACAATTCAAAACAGAGATAAAACACGAAGCAGCTAAAAATAACACAAAATTGAAAGAAATAGTTGCTATTTTAAGAGAAAATTTCCAAAGAAATGAAGAAAATGAAGCAATAACTATGGATTTAATGCCTGAATTTCCAATGACATCCGTCGAGGAATACGTACAATTTAATGAAACATTGAAAAATGATGAAGCAATTCGTAAATGTTTTGTAAGTATATTTTGAATAATGTGCAATTCAATCAGTGATTCATTGACTGATATGAAGAAAGTATTTATATTCATATGTGTGTGTGATATATATATATATATATATCATATATATATATATATATATATATCACACACACATATGAATATAAATACTTTCTTCATATCAGTCAATGAATCACTGATTGAATTGCACATTATATATATATATATATATATGTGTGTGTGTGTGTCTGTGTGTGTATGTGTGTGTGTGTGTGTGTATACAGAGTATTTGTTAACTAAAGGATCATATTCAATGGAGGCATAGAGCTGATTAAGATAAACAAAAGTCAAATATCTTTTTGCAAAAATCATAAAAATTACTGAGTAATGCATGAATAAAAATCGTGCATCGCAGCGGTAGTAAGAGGTGCGTTTGGTCGCTGAAGCTCGCATATCGAATCAAGTCGTCTAGCAATAGTTATCGGCGCGCGGCAAGAAGAAGAAAGGATTATTTCTGCACATTTTCCCTTCTGCTTGTCACGTGCCGGTAAGTATCGTTAGATGATTTAACTCGATCTGCGAGCTGCAGAGACCGAACCTGAGTTCTACAACCAATTTTTGTTCATGCATAAATCGGCTATTTTTATCATTTTTACTACATGATATTTGACTTTCTTGTTTATCTTAATCAGTTCTATGCCTCCATTGAATATGATCCCTAAACAAACACTCTATATATTCATACATATGTGTATGTGTACAAATACTTTCTTCGTATCCATCAATATATAATTTTATGCCCAATCGAAAACATTGTCGCATATGTGAAAGTAGTTTGGTAGCAGGATTTCATATATCTTGCATCAAATTTATTGTTTACTTGCGATCTACTGTTGATGATATTAGATTGCACTCGAAATCTGCTCACATAGATTTGGCCATATGTATATAGTAATATCGAAATACGAATAATAATAAATAATAAAAGAAAAAAAGTCACGTATACGAACATTAACGTCTATATTAACATTATTCTTTGCAGGAAAAGAAAATAAAGTGTATTGGTGGTGACTCTACACAAAAAAATGATCTCCAATATACTCACATATTGCATAACATTTGACACACACAAGTTGACTTGGACTGGTGCAAAAAATACTATCGCAATCGAAAATACAACTTTTGCAAACATTATAGTTAGTACGTATATTTTAACAATTACAAATAAACTATATATATATATGTCTCTTAATTTTTCCAAATGTTAAATCTCTTTTATATCATTTTCAAATATAGATACAAAAAATACTTTTAAACATTAGTGATATGTAAGGACTATAACTTGTCATAATGTTTAGAGTACTATTATTTTTGTTTATATAAATAGATATGAATTTTTCCAACCAGATATATCTACTAGTACTAAAAATATATAAATACTATCCACAGGTACTGTCAATCGTACAAAAGGAAATGGACCTGACTGTACCATTGCATTGATTGTCAAGCATGTAAAAAAACTGGCTGCAACATGCAGGTGATAAAATGAGATATCGAAACAAAAAAGTGCAACAATAAATTACTCTGTAATTAGTATACAGAGTGTCCGATAATTCCGCTAAAAACCGCGATATAAAAAATAGATTAAGTGAAACTGAAAAAACAATTCCTCTATGATTTTGCGAAGAACCACGTAAAATTGTGTTATTAATTAAAGAAATTAGCTAATGATCAATTAATTAATAATTCTATATTTTATGTGGTTCTTCGCAAAATATATAGGAATTTTTTCTTCAGTTTCACCTAATCTACCTGTACATCGTGTTTCTAAAGCGAGTTACCGCACAGCCTGTATACTTAATAATAAGAAATTAATTAATTATATCTTGCATAGGCGTTGCCAGGAGGAGGCAGAGGAAGACCACGGTCCCCTAAACGTAGAAAAAAATTTATTTTTTTATACGAAGGCGCTGCAGTTTTTTTTTTATTTTTTACCGGCAATAAAGTGATAAAATTTATATAATTTTTTTGCATTGAATGCTTAAATTGAAAAGAGGTGGCTTGTGTATGGTCTGCCTGAAAAAAAAATTCTGGCTACGCCCATATCTTAACAAGCAAGTAACGTTTTAACGCAAACAATGTTGTTACGTTATATAATTTATATGAAAACATATTTTATTATAAAACAGTCAAATATAAAGTGTAATAATTATAATATTTAATATATAATTAATAATTATATATTAATAATTAATATATAATTTAATATAATTTTTATATAATAATTATAAATATAATAATTATATATATTTATAAATAAAAAAATATATACACAATATATATATGTATGTGTGTGTGTGTTGTAATGTTAATATAATCGTCAATAAATATAATATTAACGCAATACTATTATTTGTTATTCATTTCTCAATATTTATGTTTTTTAAAATATATTGAAGACTTCTAAAAGATATTTGTTAGACATCTTTGAGATATGTGTAAAAGAAATCTTTTAGATGTCTTTTACATTTCTGCAAGATGTTTTTTAAGACATCTTTTAGATATTTAGAAGATATATAAAAGAAATCTTATTAGAGATCTTTTAATACTCTATAAGATGTCTTTTTACATTTCTGCAAGATGTCTTTAAGACTTCTTCAGGATTACTTAAGGATATCTTCAAGACATCTTTAGATATCTAAAAGATATCTCAAAATGTTGCGTAAGACATCTTTTAGATCCCTAAAAGAAATCTTTTGGGGAAAAAAGTAAGATATCTCAAGACATGGCGAGATATCTTTTAGAAATCTAAAAGACATCTTTTTGGCTATTGGGTTGCGTTATAATTTTTATAACGATATAATTTTTACTTTTAACAGTTTATGTACATATATTATAAACCTTATGTTATGTACATAATTACAGGGTGCACGATTTTATCTGAAAACATTGAAATATCTCGAGAACTATGCATTGGATAAAAAAAAGTGGTTAATGAAAGTTGTTAGTCTCGAAGGGGGACATCCAATGATACCAACTCGACCACCCACCCCAACCCCTGGGGTGGGGGTTGGGGGCAACTTTGNAATATATTATATACTATATATAAGTATATAATTAATAAAGATAAGTATATAATATAAAGATAAGTCGTAAATCGTTGAAAAAACTAATTTTCTATAAAATATAGGTAATATTTCCAAGAAATATAAATCAAATCAAACATCCCCCATCAAATTATAAAATACACGAAGGGATTGGAGCTACATCTACAAATGTTGAACTTGAGAAAAATTCATTACATTTTAGATCAGTGAGTTCGGAATATAACGTGCAGAAGCGGGTGAGTACTACAAATATTAATGATTAATATATAGAGAAAAATAGCGCTAATTAGGACGTGCTTTTATTCAGACATCGATTATTTTTTAATAATTTATAATTGGAATAATCGTAACTATCAATACATAGCTGCAAAATAGACATTTCACACGCATTTCTATGTTGTTCAGTGAAACAAAATAGTAGCATTTGATAAAACCATTTATATATTTATTACAATACGTGAATAATTATTACTTAATTAATAGTATTTTATATTTTATTTATTTATATGTAAATATAGATGAGAGTTGAATAAATTCGGACAAAAATCGTTATTTAATTTATAAATACATACATAAATATATATTTGTACACACACACGTATATGTTAGATTTACACACACATACAATTTGTATATTAATATACTTGAATTCCAGGAGGAAGATAAAATTTTATCCGTCAAAAATAATCCATCTAATTGCAATGTCCCTTCACCTTTAAATGAACACCAATTTTCAATTCAAGTTTTTCATGAGGATGAGCAAGATGATGAAGAGATGACGGATGATACTAATTCTCGTGATTATGATCGGAACATCGATAATAAGGAAAATGAGATAATTGGTAATGACAAATTATATAGCGGTATACTTTTTGTCATGGCATATATTATATAAAGTTAGTTGAATAAGTAAATTCAATAATCTGTGAACCTATTTCTATTATTTTATTTAGCGATGAAGGCTCTCCCAATTACAGAAATGAATGTAGACGAGGATATACATGTAATTATAAGTAAGATACATTTTTCTTTCATATAGATGAATACTTTCTTTCATATAGATGAATACTAATTGATTGATCATACTAATGAATACTAAACAGTGAAAATAGTAAATCATTTCTAAAAATTTGTAAATTTTAGTAATGTATTGTTTTAGTATTGTCATCATATATAATATAGTTATTATTATATTTCCAAAATACTTTTATCGTATATTGTAGTGTACAAAGTTATTAATAACATTAAAAAATTAGTCTCTGAAGATGCTTACAGTAAAATATGAATGATGAAATATAAATAGTTCTTCTTGCAGGTTCTTTATATGAAAAAGTAGATACTTTACATCAAGACTTTCAACAATTCAAAACAGAGATAAAACACGAAGCAGCTAAAAATAACACAAAATTGAAAGAAATAGTTGCTATTTTAAGAGAAAGTTTCCAAAGAAATGAAGAAAATGAAGCAATAACTATGGATTTAATGCCTGAATTTCCAATGACATCCGTCGAGGAATACGTACAATTTAATGAAACATTGAAAAATGATGAAGCAATTCGTAAATGTTTTGTAAGTATATTTTGAATAATGTGCAATTCAATCAGTGATTCATTGACTGATATGAAGAAAGTATTTATATTCATATGTGTGTGTGATATATATATATATATATATATATATCACACACACATATGAATATATTGAATAATAAATATTTTCTTCATATCAGTCAATGAATCACTAATTGAATTGCACATTATATATATATATGTGTGTGTGTGTCTGTGTGTGTGTGTGTGTGTGTATGTGTGTGTGTGTGTGTGTGTATACAGAGTATTTGTTAACTAAAGGATCATATTCAATGGAGACATAGAGCTGATTAAGATAAACAAAAGTCAAATATCTTTTTGCAAAAATCATAAAAATTACTGAGTAATGCATGAATAAAAATCGTGCATCGCAGCGGTAGTAAGAGGTGCGTTTGGTCGCTGAAGCTCGCATATCGAATCAAGTCGTCTAGCAATAGTTATCGGCGCGCGGCAAGAAGAAGAAAGGATTATTTCTGCACATTTTCCCTTCTGCTTGTCACGTGCCGGTAAGTATCGTTAGATGATTTAACTCGATCTGCGAGCTGCAGAGACCGAACGTGAGTTCTACAACCAATTTTTGTTCATGCATAAATCGGCTATTTTTATAATTTTTACTACATGATATTTGACTTTCTTGTTTATCTTAATCAGTTCTATGCCTCCATTGAATATGATCCCTAAACAAACACTCTATATATTCATACATATGTGTATGTGTACAAATACTTTCTTCGTATCCATCAATATATAATTTTATGCCCAATCGAAAACATTGTCGCATATGTGAAAATAGTTTGGTAGCAGGATTTCATATATCTTGCATCAAATTTATTGTTTACTTGCGATCTACTGTTGATGATATTAGATTGCACTCGAAATCTGCTCACATAGATTTGGCCATATGTATATAGTAATATCGAAATACGAATAATAATAAATAATAAAAGAAAAAAAGTCACATATACGAACATTAACGTCTATATTAACATTATTCTTTGCAGGAAAAGAAAATAAAGTGTATTGGTGGTGACTCTACACAAAAAATGATCTCCAATATACTCACATATTGCATAACATTTGATGTAGGACACAAGTTGACTTGGACTGGTGCAAAAAATACTATCGCAATCGAAAATACAACTTTTGCAAACATTATAGTTAGTACGTATATTTTAACAATTACAAATAAACTATATATATATATATGTCTCTTAATTTTTCCAAATGTTAAATTCTCTTTTATATCATTTTCAAATATAGATACAAAAAATACTTTTAAACATTAGTGATATGTAAGGACTATAACTTGTCATAATGTTTAGAGTACTATTATTTTTGTTTATATAAATAGATATGAATTTTTCCAACCAGATATATCTACTAGTACTAAAAACATATAAATACTATCCACAGGTACTGTCAATCGTACAAAAGGAAATGGACCTGACTGTACCATTGCATTGATTGTCAAGCATGTAAAAAACTGGCTGCAACATGCAGGTGATAAAATGAGATATCGAAACAAAAACGTGCAACAATAAATTACTCTGTAATTAGTATACAGAGTGCCCGATAATTCCGCTAAAAACCGCGATATGAAAATAGATTAAGTGAAACTGAAAAAACAATTCCTCTATGATTTTGCGAAGAACGACGTAAAATTGTGTTATTAATTAAAGAAATTAGCTAATGATCAATTAATTAATAATTCTATATTTTATGTGGTTCTTCGCAAAATGATATAGGAATTTTTTCTTCAGTTTCACCTAATCTACCTGTACATCGTGTTTCTAAAGCGAGTTACCGCACAGCCTGTATACTTAATAATAAGAAATTAATTAATTATATCTTGCATGGGCGTTGCCAGGAGGAGGCAGAGGAAGACGGTCCCCTAAACGTAGAAAAAAATTTATTTTTTTATACGAAGGCGCTGAAGTTTTTTTTTTATTTTTTACCGGCAATAAAGTGATAAAATTTATATAATTTTTTTGCATTGAATGCTTAAATTGAAAGAGGTGGCTTGTGTATGGTCTGCCTGAAAAAAAATTCTGGCTACGCCCATATCTTAACAAGCAAGTAACGTTTTAACGCAAACAATGTTGTTACGTTATATAATTTATATGAAAACATATTTTATTATAAAACAGTCAAATATAAAGTGTAATAATTATAATATTTAATATATAATTAATAATTATATATTAATAATTAATATATAATTTAATATAATTTTTATATAATAATTATAAATATAATAACTATATATATTTATAAATAAAAAAATATATACACAATATATATATGTGTGTGTGTGTGTTGTAATGTTAATATAATCGTCAATAAATATAATATTAACGCAATGCTATTATTTGTTATTCATTTCTCAATATTTATGTTTTTTAAAATATATTGAAGACTTCTAAAAGATATTTGTTAGACATCTTTGAGATATGTGTAAAAGAAATCTTTTAGATGTCTTTTACATTTCTGCAAGATGTTTTTTAAGACATCTTTTAGATATTTAGAAGATATATAAAAGAAATCTTATTAGAGATCTTTTAATACTCTATAAGATGTCTTTTTACATTTCTGCAAGATGTCTTTAAGACTTCTTCAGGATTACTTAAGGATATCTTCAAGACATCTTTAGATATCTAAAAGATATCTCAAAATGTTGCGTAAGACATCTTTTAGATCCCTAAAAGAAATCTTTTGGGGAAAAAAGTAAGATATCTCAAGACATGGCGAGATATCTTTTAGAAATCTAAAAGACATCTTTTTGGCTATTTGGGTATATTGCAAAAACAATATTTTGCATTATTACAATGCAATGTGGTAGCAACATTTCAAATTGTGGTTATTATTAAAAAATTATACAAGATATCGCTAAATGGAACAGCACTTTTTAGTTCCTCTCGCTTAGCTCTATGCCCCTATGGAGTTGGTATGTTGCAATTATGGGACACTTTGTATATTGCTCTAATTCTCATATTTAATCACCAATTATATTTAATCACTACGATTTTTGGTTTTACAATGATTTAGTTTTATATCCCAAACTTAGACGCCTTACCCATACAGCACAGAAAAATTACAGCAACATTGCAGCAATCTTGTTTTGCAAGATTGTATTATTGCAACATCATTGCAAAATGTTGCTGCAATGGTGCAGCAATATTGCAGCAACATTAAAATGTCCGCTTGCAGTAATATTACGTTGCAATAATGCAACAATATTGCATTATAATAGCGCAGCAATATTGTACTGCAATACTGCAGCAATATTATACTGCAATAATACAGCAACATTCTGTTGTAACATTGCAATAACAATGTTATATAATATATATGCAATAAAGTTACAGCTATTAGGCCTATATATATACATGTGTGTGTATGTGTGTGTGTGTGTGTGTGTGTGTGTGTGTGTGTGTATAGAGTGGCGTAATAGCTGTAATATACAAAATTAAACAATATAATATTATATAGCTCTAACTATAGCTCTAATATATGCAACTAAACCATTCTAAAACACATGTATTCAACATTTTGTGATTATATAATTCCATATAACATAATTATGTGTTAATCTTTTTTCCACAGATACTAGCAGATGGCAAAATTGTCAGTATAACATTATTGCGATATTAAAAGTCCGCTTTTTATTACATCTAAAACGAAATATAACAATTACGTCAATGTTATATTTTGTTATAAAAATGTAATAAAAAGCAGATATTTGAATATTGTCATAATATACTGAAGTATTTTTGTCATTTGATATCCACAAGATATTTGTAGAGATTAGCAAACAGCTGTATTAACGTAGGATATCATAATTACAAATTATTAGTTAGACTCACATACTATAGTATAGATATTATGTTAAACAGCAATCGCAGTAGTATTGTAATTATTAATAAGTCAAAATTATAACACATATATATATATTTATTTATAAAAGTATGTTACAACAATTAATATTAAATAAAAATTTGCTTCTTTGGTTAATATACTAAATGATGCACATACATAATGATGTTCGTAACAAAATATAAACATATGTATATAAAACATAAATAAAGTGTTTTATCTACTTTGGTAGTAAAAAATAAACGAAAAACATTAAAGAACTATCAAAAATTATGAACACATAATAGGAGTACAAATAAGTTTCCACCGTTTTCTATCAAAAATTAGGAATTTATTGTGAAAGAACGGTACATTACGTTTTATTCAAAGTATTGTCCATCACTAGCCACTACTTTTTCCCATCTTTCTGGCAGCATTCGGATACCACGTCGGAAGAACTCTTCATCTTTTGAGGCTATCCACGAATCGACCCAATTTTTAGTATCTTCATATGATGTAAAGTGCTTTTAGACAGGCCATGTGCCATCGACCGGAACAAGTGATAATCGGAAGGGGCAATGTCTGGTGAATACGGCGGGTGGGGTAGAACTTCCCAATTAAGTGTTTCCAAATAGATTTTGACCGGTTTTGCAACATGTGGCCGAACGTTGTCATGTAGGAAAATAATTTTGTCGTGTCTGGAGTAGTAATGGGCGCGTTTTTTCTTGATGCTCGGCTCAATCTCATTAATTGTGTTCGGTAGAGAACTCCAGTAATGGTTTCGCTCGATTTGAGCAACTCATAATACATGACACCAAGCTGATCCCACCAAATACACAGCATGAGTTTTTTCGATGTTGAAGCATGGCCAGGTGGTCCCCATGATTTTCTCTTCTTTGGGTTATCGTAGTGGATCCATTTTTCATCACCAGTGACTATACGAGGCAAAAAACCCTTTCTTTTATGCCTGGCAAGCAGCATTTCGCACGTGCAAAATCGGCGTTCAACGTCTCTCGGCTTCAGTTCATATGGAACCCAATTTCCTTGTTTTTGAATCATTCCCAACGATTTTAAACGATGTGAAATTGCTTGTTGAGTCACTTCTAATGTAAGTGCAAGTTCTTCTTGCATTTGGCACTAATCTTCCTCCAATAATGCTTCCAATTCCGTGTCTTCGTACACTTTCGGCTTTCCACTACGTTCTTTGTCTTCCACGTCAAACTCACCGTTTTTAAACTTTTGAAACCACTCACGACAACTTCTCTCACTTAAAACAGTCTCACCATATGCTTTTACAAGCAATCGATGCGCCTCAGCTGCAGATTTCTTCAAATTAAAGAAGTAAATCAAAAGTTCCCGCAAATGATGCTTATTCGGCACAAAACTTGACATTTTCGCACGAAAAAAATTATGTGATGCTGATATGGAGTCACTAATACTTCAAGGTTATGTTGTTACTAGATGTCCAAACTTACGATATTACGTTTTACATCTGACAATTTCAACATAACCTTCTGGTGGGGCCATCTTTTGTCAAACGGCGGAAACTTATTTGTACTCCTAATACATGTAAAAGGAACACATATAAATGAAAAATATTATATTAATACTATTAATAAAACTATTAATAAAAATACTATATTAAATGATAATATCATTGTTAATCATGAGCCACCGTTTCTCCAATTTTTTGCCTTGAAATCCGTACAGTCGCTTGTGCAAGCCATTTCGATACATATTCCGCATAGTCGTTGTCTGTCATTGCGCTGTGGGATATACGAACAGCTTCTGAAATATATATCATTACCATATTATTATTATTTTTATAAAATTTTAAATAATAATTAAATAGCAACTTGAATCTAAATAATACCGTTATTTGCAATATTGATCAAAATCATATTGCTTTACGGAGTAGAATAACACTTTTTTCTTTAAAATTCGTTCATTTTGTATAAAAGCGAATCGAAATAGCTTATAATCTAATCAATTTTCAAAGTGAAATCCGGGAAACCAAATAAATACCCATATAGTCTTATCTGTATGCATTGCTTACAACACCTGTTGCAGGGTGTAGTCTACGTATATACTTATATAGGTCGACAAAATACAATTTCTGAGTACGGTGGTTCCAATGAGGCTGTAACGTCCTGCGGATTCCGCCTATTCTAGATCCTTTTATAAATACAGCGAATTGATACTCTAAATATTAGATCCAACAAACATGTTCCGCAACCTTTCGAACACGATGACATCACACACCGATTTCTTTTTTTTTTATTATCTCCCTCCTAAACCAAAGTCCTGTAGTTGTTTGTCAGGAAAATCCATTGAGTCACGTCCTCACGAACTCACAACTTTTCCACGTCCCTTCATATTACCCAATAATTCTTACTAAACCTAACGGGATGACGAAATCTCTTATCGCCATAGATACAATGCAATGCAACTCCAAGATCCCATCCCTGGAAAAGTTCTAATAAACTTTAGACCACTGACGCAACTTTAAAATCCCACCTCCGAAAATGTTAACAACAAAGGTCTAATAGATGGACGTAGACCTTAAACTCTGACTTAATTTTAAACTCCCACACCCGAAAATGTTAACAATAATGTCCATAATTTCCACAACCCATCCGCTCAACCGAGGTAACGTTTTAAGTAAAATAAAAAGA